ATCACTAAACTAACGTATTAGGCATTCCAACGACCTGTCAAACAATAGGTGCCAGTGGGAAATTCTTGTATATTTAAGGGGGTAGCGACATAGTCTTGCAACTTGGACGCTATTTTTATTCGAAGTAGTACTCGCCAAGCCTGCCAATTTATGAAGAAATGTATAGATGGGTTTTTTAAATATTATTTTTATTGTGTTTGACATAAAATATTTAAATGTAATCCATTATTCATGATTTTTCGTAAAGTAGATAGAATACACCATATGTCGCCACCCTTAGATATACCAAACCTGCACACTGGTAATTCATTTGTTTGGAATGCCTAATTTAGAATTATATCTGTCATGCTCTGTCAATTCAAATATGCGCGGTGTTGCCAAAATCAACGAACAATAAAAATTACCTTATTTTTGATATAACATTTCCATACACTTTAAAAAGCACTTCTATAATTTATTTCCAGTTACATCCGACGATTTATTTAACCATTTTGACTGAATTGTTGTAGTGCATAATAATTTAATATTAATATAGCCATCTATAAAGTAATAAACAAAGTACTTTTCGAAAAATTTTAAACGTAATTTTATTATTACTTTGTATTATCCAAAAGTTTAAAACAAGTGAATTTATTTGGTGACAATAGATGCCAGGTAGCCAAATTTAAAGACTACTATCAACAAAAGGATAGCTGAATTAGATCAATTTGTGTTGGGTTAACTGTGACGTCGTCACTCGGTGGATACTTTAAGTCAGCTGTACTCAACCTTTTTTTCTTTAGGGCCACATAAATCTGTATGTTATGCTACACGGGCCACAATATTTTTGGGTTATAACGTTTTGAAATGTAAATAAAGACAATGGGTGACGATAGGGATTCGTTTTAAGTCCTCATATTGTTTTAGTTGTTTAAATAAGTTTTGAAAAGTCGCAAGGACAATTTATTTCAAAAAAGGACTGTAGATCAATCATTTCAATTCCTAATAATAGTGTTTGGGGCTGCACAAATAAGCTTGAAGGGCCGCATGCGGCCCGCGGGCCGCAGGTTGAGTATGGCTGTTTTAAGTCATCCCTTTTAAAACCTACATCAATACACTTTTTTTAAATTACGACGTTCAAACATTTTTAAATTCAAATACTATTCAAATACTATTCAAATACTATTCAAATACTATTCAAATACTATTCAAATACTATTCAAATACTATTCAAATACTATTCAAATACTATTCAAATACTATTCAAATACTATTCAAATACTATTCAAATACTATTCAAATACTATTCAAATACTATTCAAATACTATTCAAATACTATTCAAATACTATTCAAGTACTATTCAAGTACTATTCAAATACTATTCAAATACTATTCAAATACTATTCAAATACTATTCAAATACTATTCAAATACTATTCAAATACTATTCAAATACTATTCAAATACTATTCAAATACTATTCAAATACTATTAAAATACTATTCAAATACTATTCAAATACTATTCAAATACTATTCAAATACTATTCAAATACTATTCAAATACTATTCAAATACTATTCAAATACTATTCAAATACTATTCAAATACTATTCAAATACTATTCAAATACTATTCAAATACTATTCAAATACTATTCAAATACTATTCAAATACTATTCAAATACTATTCAAATACTATTCAAATACTATTCAAATACTATTCAAATACTATTCAAATACTATTCAAATACTATTCAAATACTATTCAAATACTATTCAAATACTATTCAAATACTATTCAAATACTATTCAAATACTATTCAAATACTATTCAAATACTATTCAAATACTATTCAAATACTATTCAAATACTATTCAAATACTATTCAAATACTATTCAAATACTATTCAAATACTATTCAAATACTATTCAAATACTATTCAAATACTATTCAAATACTATTCAAATACTATTCAAATACTATTCAAATACTATTCAAATACTATTCAAATACTATTTAAATACTATTCAAATACTATTCAAATACTATTCAAATACTATTCAAATACTATTCAAATACTATTCAAATACTATTCAAATACTATTCAAATACTATTCAAATACTATTCAAATACTATTCAAATACTATTCAAATACTATTCAAATACTATTCAAATACTATTCAAATACTATTCAAATACTATTCAAATACTATTCAAATACTATTCAAATACTATTCAAATACTATTCAAATACTATTTAAATACTATGGCCATGTTATCTTAATATTTTTTTTAATTAAGAAATATTGAAAATATTTAAATGGTAAGGTATAGGTCAAAATTTATACACAAAGTAACGTAACATACTAATATATCCTGATAGGTTTGCAAAACAATTTTGAATAAAATTTTATTAAATGAATCAAGTTAATATGACATATACTGGGTTGATCATTACTCCAAAATTACACAAGAATACATTTTTTTAAATAATTTTTCGTACGCTATTAAATTTAAAATTAAACTGTTAATACCGCATTGCGCTAACTTTATTAGCTCGAATACATTCTTGCGATATTTTGGAATAATAGTGCATGTGGTACATTTTTAACATATTGACAATTTGATTTATTTTATAAATTTTTTATCCAAAAATGTAAACCTATTGGAATTCAAAACAAATAAAAAGTTCCCTGACACCTACACCATAAAAGTACACTCGTCGCACCCACCCACCTGCCAACCACTATAGGAGCTAACGAGCGAAATGGAGCGCGCCCGGTCGACGTTTCGAAATTGTGTTACTACGAATCAGTGTTGCCAGTCTAATACAATTGTACTAGATCTAATACATCTTCTAAGAATCTGGTACACTCGAAGTAAAATCTAGTACCTTTTTCTTTTTCAGCGTGTTACCATTTGACACGTGTAAAATATATTGTTGGGATCTTGCTCCTTGTTTTGTTTTCTTTCGCTAAAAACCCTTTTTTCCCTGAATAAACCAAACCACATCACAATTCATTCGAAAATCTGGTACATTTTACAGAATCTAGTACATTTTTATGCAATCTGGTACATGTTTTTTTAGACAAATCTGGTACGTAACAAAAATATATTCTGGCAACACTGCTACGAATACCACTTTGTCTTCTACAGTAGTTAGGAGGTGAGTGGGACGAGCGGAGTGAGTGTGACATCGGCAGGGCGCGCTCGCTTCTCTCATTTGCTTCTGCAGTGGTTAGCAAGTAGGAGGGACGAACGTTTAGTTCTATTATAGTGTAGGTGTAACAAGCTCGCGCAGAATGGAGCCCGGCAGACGTTTCGAAATTCGCGCTAATTTACCAGAGCATTTTTTATAAGGTTCAGTTACGCTGGTGACGTCAGATATTATATATAAAGGGTTCATTTTTCATAAGCTTACTAGAACATATAATAAAAAGTAACAAAATTAAAACATCCTAAAATTTCTTAAAATTCATATTCAGTTTAGAAATCCCTAAACTTAAATTAAATTTGACATATAACATTAAATAGGTTACCACGGTATGTGTGACATCACCACAGTAACCACAATATGTACTGTAATCAAGTATGTTGTGGTAAGTTTATAAAGAAATGTCTTAAAAATATCCACCGAGTGACGTCACATTTAAGCCAGCACAAATTGAACTAATTTAGCTATCCTCTTGTTGATAATTCTCTTTAGATTTGGCAGGCTGGCGTCATTTGCCAAACAAATAAATTCACTTGGTTCAAAAAAGTTTTAAAAACTTTCGGATTACACAAAGTAATTATGTGTCAAAGTTTTCGAAAAACACATTGTTTATTACTTTATAGATGAAGTAATATTTAAAAATTATGTACTACAACAATTCAATCAAAATGGATAAATAAATCATCAGGTATGACCGGAAATAAATTAATAGAACAGCTCTTTATAGAGTGTGGAAATGTTATGTCAAAAATAAGGCATTTTTTTTATATTTCTTTTTCGTTGATTTTAATTGGACACTTGGCAACACCGCACTAACTTGTATTGACAGAGCATCACAGATATTTTAAATTCTAATATTTCCAAAGAATAAGTTTACACAAATGATCACTTAATGATCTTCGTAAGTCTTTAATATTCAAAATTTTTAAAAAAATATTAATTTATGGAGTTTCCGGTGGTATATTTGAAAAATACTCCCCTTCCTAAACCCTAAAATGTAGGTTTCGTAAAAAAATTGTGTTTTTAAGAAAAAGGCGTCTTCGCAATATTTACCAATCTGGCAATCGAAAACGAGGTTAGAATTTAGATGGACACTGGACAGATGAAACCACGTTGCCAGACTTAAAGAAAATATTTCGCGCTATCGCGATTATGATTTGAATAACATTTTTATTAAGAACAAAGTTTATTTAGGCTTCATAAAAACCGAATTTTAACAAATATTGTTTTAGTTTTAATATAAATGTTTTTATGTTAAATTATACGACCTTAACCTTTAAATTGTCAGTAATCCGGAATTTCAATATTTTTTTATAAGAAGTGGCAACAAGGTAAAAACATATCGACTACTGTCTGGAAGGTTATAAATTAGCCAATTAGAATTTAGGCTTCATTATGACGATGTTTAAAAAATATTGTGACGCGAGTTTCAAATTTGCTTGAATTTTTTGGAATTTAAAAAAAAATTCTTGTAGGAAAATTTAAAAAGAAAAAAATTTCAAAAAAATATTGTTAGATTAGATTTTGTGCTAGCTTTAAAAAAAAAAATATTTTTGAATTTCACTAAACACGCCCACTTACATTATAATAAATATAATCGTTTATTAATTTTCTCAATTGCTGTCTAATTAATCAAAGCATCATGTTCTTATCATATTGCATTTTTATAACTATGTGAATTTAGGAGATATGTCGATATACCTACAAACTTATTAGACATAAATGATTATTTTATTATCAAAATGAATCGGGAAATATTAAAATTATTTCTAAACCACAAACAAAAAATTAATCACTTACTGCTTCGTCTCTATTTTGTGATTCCATGAAAGCGGAAAACTCGACTAGCCTCAATTTGTGCGTCGCTATAGCTCTTCCTTCCCACACCGGTGGCGGCGCTGATTGTAAGGCTCCAACTTCTCCCGCCGACACTGCCGTTGCTGGTTTTCCCGCCGAATATGCTGCCTGCGCAAATGGTTTCACGCTAAAAAAAAATGATACATATTTTTAATCAGTACATACAACGTTGTTTAAAGGTACAAAAATATCGCTTATTTGCGAGAATAACGACGTAACTCAAAAAAAAAAATTCATTTCGAGATAGTTGAAACTTGAAAAGTGACTTTGATTCTGAATAAACAATATACCTTTTTAATTATGCAATAATCGCAAAATAGATGATTATCGTTCATTTGCGACAATAACGGCGCAACTCAAAAAAAATAATTCATTTCGAGATAGTTTAAACTTGAAAAGCGTCGTTGTTTCTGAATAAAAAATATACCTTTTCAATTATGCAATAATCGCAAAATAGATGAATTTCGAATTGTGTCAGTATTTTCGCAAATGAGTGATATGATGGAATGTATTTAATATAAAATCATATGCATCTCATCGATGGCAGGTACAGATACCACACATACCATGAAAAAATCAACGATTATTTTCTTTTTAAATTTCAGGTATTCAGGTCCTACTTGTTATGGTCTAAATTTGTTTATATACATATAAACAATGTCCCAAAATTATTTCTATAAACTTACGAAGGTTTTATTTTGAAACGAAAGCTTTTAATAAAAAATATCAGTGGCGTATCATATTATTTATAAAAAAATATTAAACCAAAGTGATGCCACCTTCCAATTCTAAGAAGATACTTTATTTCCAAAATAGGTCTATTTTCTTTTATCAAAAATAAAAAAAATTTAATTATTATGGAATTATTTTGAGAATTATTTTTTATTTTTAACATACTGCTTCTGGGTAACGAAACCATTAAGAAACTTTTTGTACGGCAATATTACAAAACTACACTTTCATAATTATAGATGATTAAGAAATTAGGTACATTTATTTATTTAATCATCCTGATAACAAAAAGTAATAATTTCCGTATCATATCCTTATCTGATAACACAAAGTAATAATTTCCTAATTATTTTAATCAAATCATGTGTGCTATTAAATGTCAAACATGAAATATAATTATATTGAAGGCAATTGCAACAAATTATAAAAATGGTAAGCAGCGTGTTATAGTCATAGAAAAAGTATAGTACTAAACAATATACTTCATTTTCAAATAACATCAGTATTACTTTGTTTATCGAAAAAATAATATCAATAATTTTTTGAGTTTTTCTTCATAGACTGAAAAATGAAATATTTAACGAAAAAAAAAAAACTTACATAAAATCTAATGCAGAAACGTTTCGAGAGTCAACTCGGCTCCCATTTTCTAACCTACAAAAAATTGTTACAATTAAAATAGTTAAAACAAAATAGTTTATAATTATTATTTACAGTTATCCATTTTTCAGAAATGAAGAAAACCTCTAACTAAAAATAGTAATAAATAATAAACAATGAAGTACAGGGTGGGCTACTTAAAAGTTCCATCCCCATGACGTCACAGGCTAATTGAATCCATGACAAGAATTTTTTGTTACAAGCTATCAAAAAAAAAAAACAAATAAATCATCAATAATTGAAATAATAACTAATATTATAACAGTGAATGGAATTTTTAAGAGGTTTGGCACTAATAAAAATGCTTAGGCACGCCAGTGGTGTGATTTATATAATAATAATAAGGTATCCATCATATTTACAATAGAAAAAAAATAGGACATTTAATATACAAATTATTTATGATTTAATAATGTTAACCCTGTATTTAATCTAAACTGAAATCAATTTAGGCCCTAAAAACCTTTATTTTTAAAATAAAACAAGCAAAAATGTATGAAACTTTAAATACAATTAAATAAGGAAAAATGATTGAAATTAATAACATATTAACTAATAGCAACGTTTTATAATTTTGTTTTAAAAATGTCAGAGAACGTGTCCTAATTTCCTATGTATACTGTTATATATTGAGAAGGCGTTATAAGTGAAATATCTTTTAATAAATCGGTAATTCGGAATCGTCAAGTTGTGTGGATATCTCAAATGTAAACTGTGCAGATCTTTCAGATATATCAATTTATTTTTTAAATATATGGGAGTTGAGGTTGAAAGAATTCGAAATACCGTGGCCGCCATCTGATATTTAAATAAATTTCCTATATTGACACAGCTAAGTTCTTTAATTTTATTTGATATTCTATCATACTTTCTGATATCAAATACAAAACGACAACAAGAGTTTTGAATCTTTTGAGGTTTGTATTTGGTTATTTGATCCAAACAAGGATAGTAAATTAAAAGTCAATAATTTAGAATGGACAATAGAAGACTTTCACAGAGCAACTTACGTAATTTGAAACTCAAAATACCTCGATTCCTGTATAATTGACGAATAACCAGATACGATTTTTTGACTAGAAGCGAAACATAGTCCTGAAACCTTAGTTTGCAGTCATAGATAATGCCTAATATAAGTTTTTGGCACTTCTACATGATTTTAGAGGTTCATTTTGAATGAATAACTTAAAGTTCTGTATATTTGTAGGACAAAATAATATTGTATGACATTTACTGGCATTCAATTTAAGATTATAATTCATAAAAAATGTATATACTGCATTTAGATCTGAATTCATGATTTTCGCGGCTATATCTACTTCACATGGGTCAAAAGAATAATATAGTTGCGTGTCGTCAGCAAAAGAGTGTATATTTACATGCTCCAATAATTTATTGTCTGAAATATATATGGAAAACAAAAGAGGACCAAGAACAGAGCCTTGCGGTACTCCTGATGTTATACACATAAAGTTAGATGATTTCTTTAACATTACTTTTTGGTATGAGTTACTTAAATAAAATTTGAAAAATCTTAATGAGGTTTCATCGAAACTAAAATATTTGAGTTTGGCACAGAGCTGATGATCTATAGTGTCAAACGCTTTAGAAAAGTTATGCAGAGTAACTGCTGTAACTTTTCCTTCATCCATTGATCTTATAATGTTATCTGTTAAATCGAAGAGTAATGTTTTAGTACTGAACCCCTTTCGAAAACGTGATTGTTTAATGGTTATTATATTATGAGAAAACACGTATGTATATATTTATTTACTAATTTTTTTTTATAATTTTGGACAACGTCGGTAAAATACTTATGGGCCAAAGGTCGCTAAATGTTTCAGCCTTATTTGATTTTGGCAAAGGCTTGATTACGGATTACTTCCAGTTGTCAGGAAAGTAACCAACTTCTAAACAGCAATTTACAATGTGCGTTATGTAAGGAGCACAGACTGAAATAGAAAGTTGTAACATTTTTGCTGAGATATCAATTCCTAATTTTGATTGTAATTCCAAGACTGTTGACCTAATTTTATTTACTATTGCAAGTTTAAAAGAGAAGTTAATACTAGGATTAAATAGATTTGAATTATAAAAAGATGTAGTGTTAGAACAACAATTCCTCTGACTGAATACCGATGTAAAATACTTGTTTATATCAGTAGGATCACTTAAGCTATCAGGAATATGGAATGTAGTTTTATTTGAAATATTCAAGGATTTCATTGCTTTCCAAAGGTCTTTTTAGTTTTGCATGCTTGCACGATAATTTAAATAAGCTGATTTTTCTTTCGCATTTCTTTGTAATGAATGAATTCTGATATATTTTGGGATCTTTTATATTTTGAAAGTGCTTTATTTCGAGTTTTCTTCATCTCATTAATTGTAGGTGTCAACCAAGGAGCATACGGTTTAATAATTTTGGCTTTTGCATAAGGAGCATGGTTGTCAAATAATATTGTGATTAGGTTGTTAAAAATCTGTATTTTTTCTTCAATGGTGTTTTCATAAATGATATTTAGCCATGGTGCACGCACTTGGTCTGCATTGAAAGCGTTGATTGAGAAATATTTATAACATCTATAGGTTTTTAATATGGGAATCTTATAACTTACGTTTAAGTCAATGTCGCAGTAAACAGCACGATGATCTGATAATGGATGATCAATGACTCCTGAATTTTAAACTAAATCTGTCCTATTCGTGAAAATTACATCTAATAGTGTGTGAGAAGTCGTAGTTATACGAATGGGTTCTGATATTGACTGTGAAAAATTATAAGTTTCCATGCAATGATTTATTTGGTTATCAACCAACTGGTTTATGTTTATGTCAACAGTAATATATAGGTAATATATATGATAAAATATTATCAAAATACCCAAAAAAGTTTGTTATATTGCAAGTTTCCGTTCGGTAAATAACTCCGATCAAAACCGATGACCTTCCAATTTCTACGGTTAACCAAAGATGCTTAATGTCCTGTACTGGATTGTAATCACCAAAGGTTACTGAAGTTTTTAATGTATCAAGAACAAAAAAATTCTAAACCCTCTCCTCGCGAGCCACGATCATTTCTAATTATCTTGTACCCAGGTATATAAATAGCATGATCTGGAATATCATGAACTAACCACGTTTCTGTCATGCAAATTATGTCAACAAACATAGCAAACTTAGGGAATAAAGAACGTGTATTAAAATATACTAACTTTGACTTTTTATTTAAAAAACTAGCCACAATCAGTCCTAGATTTAAGATTATCTATTCTGTTCAATAAGCAACTACAGTTAGGGCTGTTTGTGGATTGATCAGTGCTAACGTTTAACTTAAACCTAGAATTAAATAATTTACAATTGTTACAACAAAAAGATTCAGATGTACAAGCATTTTTTTTTCGTGAGGACATGTAATTTCATTGTGACAGTCTATTTTGTGATGATCAAATTTGCAACATTCGATTAGTCTCAATGGGAATACTGAGGTTTACAAGATAATGTATTCTCATATTTATTATTCTCTTCTTTCAATGAATATAGGCTTCGTTACATAATTTTCCAAGGGCAAAAATCTATTTTTTTCAACTTAATTAAGTTAATACAAATCAAAAATATTCTTCTTATTTTTATTTATCAAAATGATAATCATTAGCAATACTGGGATGGTGAATGTTTTGGAAAAATGAATTTAGTTAATATCAATTAAGTTAAAAATTGTTATAGAACTTTTTGGGAGACATTGTTAACAACACGGTTAACAACAATATTATTATTATTATTTTTTTTTTTTTTTTTCATAAAAACCAATAATTATTCTTGATAAAGTGTTCTGCACCACATGTAAATTCATAAGAAAACAATAAAATTTTGTAAAATATAGGTGGTATACAGGAAAATTAAAAATTGAGGATTGTTTTTTGAAAATACTTAAAATAAAGACGAAAGTAATAATACTCGATTGTGGAATTCCAAGTAATGCAGAAGTTTTTATTAAAAATATTATTTTTTTTTAAATCAAAATTTTTTCTAATGTATAAAACTTTTTGGAACATACTGTATAATGGATTGTGACGTGCACTTCAAGCACGTTGTTAATAACAAAATATATTCAGGTATTGTTGTTAACGACGTAAAAAAGAGCACGTTACAATCTATTACATAGTATGTAACTTTGTGGAACACACTATGTAATGGATTGCGACGTGCTCTTCAAGTATATCGTTAATAACAAAGTGTATTTAGATATTGTTATTAACTACGTGCTCAAAGAGCACGTTGCAATCTATTACACAGTGTGTAACTTTTTGGAATACACTATGTTATTGACTGCGATGTGCACTTCAAGTACGTCGTTAATAACAAAGTGTATTGAGATATTGTTATTAACAACAGACTGTATAATATATTGCGACGTTAACACTTTGTTAATAACGACGTGCTCGAAAAGCACGTCGCAATCTATTACTTAGTATGTTCTAAAAATTACACGTTCAAAGAGCACGTCGCAATATATTACAGAGTGTGTTTCAAAAAGTTTTATAAACATACGAAAAAGTTTTAATTTTTAAAAAACCAATTATTATTGATAAAAAGTTCTGCATTACTTGGGAATCCATCAATCGAGCACGTCGTTAACAACAATGCGTATCCAGATATTGTTAATGACAGTAGATAACAAAATTAACACTTTTTAGAACACACTATGTAATGGATTGCGACGTTCTCTTTTAGCACATCGTTAACAAGGTGTATTCAGATATTGTTGTTAACGACGTCGCAATCTATTATATAGTGTGTTCCAAAAAAATGTATGCACATGAGAAAGTTTTTTGATTTTTCATAAAAACAATAATTATTCTTGATAAAATGTTCTGCATCACTTGGTAATCCATAATAAAACATTAAATTTTGTAAAATATAGGTGGTATACAAAGAAAATAAAAATAAAAGGGTAAAATACTTTTAAATTTCAATAGTTTTTTTATATGTCCGAATGCACCTAATCTTACAATATGAATCAACACTTTTAAAACAACATAAATTACTATAAAATTTTAAATCTAGATATCACCTGTGTTCAATAATAGTTATTAACATATTCTGCACACGTCGATATTGTGGCTCATAGCACTAACTCTGCTTTATCACGATCACTTCAATTATACAAGCTCAAAAATCTGACGTCTGTACACTAGGTTCTGATTGTCTAAAAGTTGGAGAACTTCAATGTTAATATGTTTGTGGAGTCTCTCCTCATGTCTCTTGGCAATGTTCTTAATTTCTTCTGGAATTGATTCAACTTAAAGTTTTCGATGCAGTTCTTTATTCCAAACATACCAAGGTACATTAACTAGGTTCCTGAGAATTTGGTTTTGAACTATTTCTAGGCAATTGTAATTGCTTTTACTGGTAAAACCCATAATTGTAGGTCATATGTCCTGGTTTTAGAACATTGTTTGTAAATCAGGACTTTATTTTGAGTGGAAAGTGAAGAGTGCTTTCCTATCAGCCAATACGTATTTCTATATTTAATCATTAGCGGTTCAGTTTTCATTTTTACATGCTCCTTCCATTTTAATTTAGCATCCAGATTAAGACCCAGATATTTTGCTGTTTTCTTATTTAGTATAATATTGTTATTTAGGTTTATATGAGCGGATTTTTCGTTGTTAATTTTTGTGTGCCATTGTTTAGACCAGATTTGTATGCTATTGATTCCGTTTTGAAGAATAGCAGTGTGTCATCAGCGAATGTGGCTAATTTTATATTTTCTATCACTGGAATGTCATAGGTGTATAATAAATATAATACTGGCCCTAAGAACACTTCCCTGTGGGACGCCAGCATTTATTGACTTGAGTTCAGATTATTCGTTTTCCATTTTTAACTTTAAATGATTGCTGCGATAGATATGATTCTAGAAGTTGGATATATGGCATCGGGAAAAATTTCTTTATTTTAAATAGTAGTCCTTGATGCCACACTTTATCGAAAGCTTTTGAGATATCAAGAAATACTAAACAATTTTTTTTCTTCTAGAGAATTCTAAATTTTATTTATTATGCGATGAACCTGATCAATGGTAGAATGTTTATCCTGAAAGCCGAATTGTTGGGACGGGATAAGTTGTTTTTTGTTGATTATCTTATTTAGTCTTCTTAAGAGCAATTTCTCAAATAGTTTTGATATCACAGGTAGAAGCGAGATTGGTTTATAAAATGTTATTTCATTGTTGGGTTTTCCATTATTACTGCAGCAGTTTTCCATAGTAGTGAAACATGTTGAAGTCTAAATGCTGCATTAATTATATTGGTCAGTTTTACTAAACCTTTTCGTGGTAATTTCTTTAGTATCTCTCTTGTGATCAGATCGAACCCGGAAGCTTTTTTACATTAATACTATTTTTTATTTCCCTTTGTCTTTAGGACTAGTTAATAATATTTTATCTATATCATCACTAACTTCCTCTTGGTTTTCTATTTCAGTTTCTTCACCTTCTCCTGGGTTCGGGTGGAAAATGCGTTCTAAATAGTTGGCAAAGGCATCAACTTTTTGTTTGCAATTTTTTGCTCACATATTAATTCTTCAACATCTTCTATCTTTATAAAATTTCTGGAAATAAAAAAGTCCAAAAGGTCTGGTATTTTGTTTATATCGCTTGGCCAATATGTAGGTTTTCCCGTGGAGTGCCACTTACATTTCTGATCTTTGATAGCCTCGTCTACCTCTTTTCCTTTAATTGTAGTAAGTCTTAAGCCTCAGCAGACATTGTTTGCATTAAAATCAGCACCTAATATAAATTTTTCACGAACCCTTGACAATAAGTTGTTATAGTCTTTTCTTTTGAGATTATATCTGGGTGGGAAGTAGGCAGATGTAACAATGAGTACATATTTTTTTTGTTTTAACAGATATGCTAACAGTTTGTATTTCTTCAGTTTCACTTTTTCCTCGTTCATAGTGTGTTATGTTATTTTTAATAATAATAGAAGCTCCATCTCGGGTAGAATTGTTTGGATGAATGGCATTATAGATCTGATATCCTTTTAATTTGACTTGTGTATGTTTCGTAAAATGTGTTTCTGTTATCAGGCATATATTCAAATGTTGTGTCTCTAAGGTCACTAATAACTCTTGCTGGTGCTGTAAGAGTCCATTTGTGTTCCATTCAAGAATCCTAAGACCAGGAGTCATTTTCTTTTTTTACGTCTATTATTATTTTCTAGTTTCTCCAGCCTTTCTAGAACTTTTTTTGTTAAATTAATCCTGTTTATCCATTTGATTCATTATTTTTCGCAGCATTGAAGTTATAGGATCAGTACTGCTCTCTACAGTCGGTTTTATTTTATTACTTGCTACTTGGGCATAAGGTACACCAGCTTCCATTAAGGTTTGTTGCCTTCTTACAGTTTTCTCTAGATTTCCTCGGTTCACTTTGTTGACTATCTTTCTGATTTGTAGTTTTGTTTCTTATGCTCTGCAAAATTTTTACAGCGGCGCAACCTCTATAATTAGCTGGGTGCTCTCCTCCACAGTGTATGCACTTAGGTACTGTACTTATTGGTTTTTTACAATCTTTAGTTGAGTACTTTCCAGCGCATTTGACACATCTGAATTCTCTTTTGCAGTAATTTTGAGTATGCTCATATTCTTGGCATCGTTTACATAGAGTAAGAAAGATATTATTTAAATGTTGATAGGAATTAAAATATGTACTTAAATTTAAATCATTGCAATTATTTTTAATTTTATTTACTTTATTCAATAAAAAATATTAATCCACAACCAATGCTATAATGTGTAATGAAAGTACTCATTAGTAATTAATTTATTTTTTCTGTTAATTTTTGGAATAAACTTGAAAACAACAGAATTATTAAAAAGAGAATGAAGATACCTTTCAAATGAGGTATCACAAGCCTTTACTGTATTTGCTATTTATAAATATAGGGGTTGCAACTGTCACTCGAAGGTGATTGAAGGTAGGGGTAAAATTTAAGCATTGCAGGATGTCATTTCATAATATAAAATTGATGTGTGGGTGAGGTTTTCCGGGTTTTCCTCACCTGTAAGTCAAATGGCACCATCAATCATCTTTAAGTCGCTCCGGAGCGCCACGGCAAACAATAATAATAGCCGTCCCTTCCCCTACACAAGTCGTTCAGTCGACTTCAGGGGTTGAAATTCACTCGTAAGGGGGTGAATTAGAGAGAGTATTATTATTATTTTATAAATATGCTACTGAATTTATTCTAGCTTACACAGTGTATAGTTATTTTTTATGGATCTTAAATTATATATCGCTTCTATAACAGGGGCGCATATACGGGGGTAATGGGAGTAATACTCCTCCCACAAGAATTTTTAGACCTACCTTTATAGGTTCTAAAAATGTATTATTATCAGTAATAGTCTTAACTACCCAACCCCACCAGACATAAACTCTGTTCTATAATTGCCTTTTTTAATAACATTTTCATTTTCAAAAAAGTTGGAAACGTTTAACAAAGATTTTAGTAAAAATAATGTTTTAACAAATGTAGAATTTAAAAATAGGTTATTATAAGCAAGATACTTACTCTTGAGAGGTACCAGGTTGAAGTCCAGGCTGCCAAAATTGCTAAAAAAAAAACATAAAACACATTAATTAATAAATATGCATTAATAAAACATTATTGATTCGATATATAAGTACACATTAAATCACATGTTCGCAGTTATGTTAAAAATAAGCCCAAGTAGCATTATAGCACAAATCTAGATCTACATACAGCTGCACCACACAGCAAGTAAGCCTAAAGTTGGTTAAAAAGAACAAAATATCGAAATCAGTTTAAATTTCGTTTATTACAGCTAGCAAAAGCTAGGATAGTTTTGGATAATTGGGAAAAAAAGGAATATCAAGTAAAAGAAAGATGACAAAGTTTAGATATAAAGTTAATCTAAAATGAAAATAAAAATATAATAAAATTTTACAACTTACTAAATAAGTTAACATAGAGCAATAGTTGGTGAAATATTTGTCAAAGAATTACAATATCTGGTTGGAAAGCGGTCAAACTTTTATTTCTATACAAGAATACCCTTTAAAATATAATTTGTACATATTTTAATGCAATAAATAAGAAAAATGATTGAAGAAAAATGTTTAGGCAACAGTTTGTTAGTTTAATTTATAGCAAACCAAATTATCAATGGGTCATTAAAGATTTTTTTTACTTTCTACAGTTTTTTTATTTTTATCTTCATAAATGTCGCAAAACTGAAATTTTACGTTCATCCTCACCTCGATAAAAGATGATGATAATATTAAAATTAAATGATAGAACCAGAAAAATAAAATTAACGTTGTAAAAAGTGCTCAACCATTTATAACTGGCATATGTACACGATTGATTTATAATTAATTTTAATTGTATTTCACTGCACTCAATTGCTAAAATATTCATGAAAAGCTAATAATAAGGTAAAATACTATATGATTAATTTTCAAATGAAAACAATGAATGTTAATTAAATAAAAACAAGGGATGAAAGAGAATGAAACAACGAACGTTGTTCATGTTGCTAAAATATTTATGAAAATTTAATGATATAATTAATAGGTTAAAATTAAATAAAAAACAAAAGATGAAAGGGACTACAATAACGAGATCCGTTCCTGTCAAACAAAAGAGAAGAATAGAAATAGAGATAATGGGTATGGACCGATATTAATTGAAATATCGGTTACTAGGTCTAAAACTAACCACTCTACTTGATATACCTGAAAAAGCGGTTAAATTCTTAGAGCATATAAGACTAGAGGTGTTACTCAAATGAGTGTGTTATGTACTGAGGGGGGTAACCCCTTCGGTGTTAGGTACACAACGCATTATGATTGGCGAGTTAATAACACGACGATTTATGATTGGCGAATTTGAATAACGCGCGTATTTGTAATAAATGACATTTCGTTTGACGTATCGTTTTCGTTTTTATAAAGTCGTTTTTTGTGGCTTCCAAAGACAATTGGGACGAGGTGTCTCTTTGATAAACTTTTTAAGTGTTTTTTATTATAAAATAAGTGCTCTAATCATGCCGAAAGCTTGTATAATTTGTAATAATAAATTCTTAAAGGATACTGGTTGACGTTTTACAAGTAAGTATTCTATATTCCATAAACGTAACTTAAAATGGGAAATGGGCAAATGAATTAGAAAACATGTTTGTAGAATGTTCTTCATTTGAGCATCACCGCAATTGGTTGCGTTCGACAGAAAATAGTTGTTTTCTTTGCGATAATGCTTAATTTATGTGTTTTCGTATAATGTAAAATAGATTAGATATATTTTTGTATTGTATTTACTCAACTTCCATTAATATCACCGGCACACAAAAAAAAGTTGTCAGTACTTTTGACGGGACCGGTATATCTTTATGTATTTCGACCCGCTGAATCCGAATCTGAGGTCCGTTTGACCCGTACACCGTCAAATTTTCGAGAAAACTTTAAAAAACGAAAATCGGCAGTTTAGGTGATTTAATTTTTTTTTTTTTGACCTAAACCAACCATAATTTTTATGTATTTCGACCAGCTAAATACTTATCTAAAGTTTATTTAGACCATAAGCCGTTAAAAGTTTAAGTGAACTACAAAAAACCCTGAAAAATTGCAAAACAAAAATTCCTGATATTGTGTTAATTTTTTTTTATAAAATTAGATCAATCATGATTCTCATGTATTCTGTCTGTATCTGTAACGTGTGGAGGGTGGGTTACCCCCACGGCACTTAGGCCTCATTAGGCCCATTGTGCATCCTCCTAAGATCATAGGCACCTCCTAGCTCGTCAGCCAGCCTACAGATTTAATGTAGTTGACAACGTCGCCAAGAGGTGCTTCTCTTATATCGGCCGTTGTTAGCCGATACTCGCCGAACACAAATCTTCTAATAAATGAGAGCGTCGGGCAATCGTAAAGGATATGCTCGATGGTCTCATCTTCTTGTTCGCACCCTCTGGAGAGTGCGGATTTTGACAGCCTCATGATATGGAGATGCTTCCATAGTTGGCAATGACCAGTCAGAATGCCTGTGACCAGACGCAGATTCTGTGTAGTCATAGTCAAATATTTGTTTACTGCAGTGTTGCCAGGATAACTTAAGAATAACTTAAGAGCTCCCTGGCAACTCTGCAGTTTCTTGTTTCATCCCATCTTTCCTTGAATTTCACAAGGGAATGTTCTTTAATTAGGTCTGTCACTACCAATTTTGTCAGGCCAATAGAAGGGCCAGGTCCAAAGAGTATTTGGTTGGCTGCTTTCTTGACTAGTGAATCGACAAGACGGTTACTTTTCGTTGTGGCGTGACCTTTGATCCATCTTAAGGTGACCACATTTCTCATGTATTTTGATCCTCCGAATATAAATCTTGAACTTCTATGGCTCAGACATCTCTAAAAATCTAAATAAATGGCAAAAAACCACTGAAAATTAAAAAAAATCAAGTCCGTTATGATAAAAATCAATTTTTAATTAAAAATACGAAAACATCAATCCTTTTTAAATAGGGAGTACTTTTTAGGTTTTATTTTCAATTAGATCTGAAATATATTTTCTTGGGGTATTGAAAGTAAATATTTTTAAATATTTCTTGAACAAATGGAAAATAACCTTGGATCACACTTCCTCTGGTAAGTGATTATACATCTTAGGCCCTAGATATGAAAAACACCTTTGAGTTAAAGATCTTTCCACCAAGGATACAATATAATTTGATCTAATGCGGGTTGCATATTTACACATCCCGACGGCACCAGGGTGCTGAAATGTAGGCCTTGTAGGCCTTTGTGGCCTACAATTGCACTACAGAAGCTCATTGATTTGGGCACTCATACAAATTGTATGTTATTTAAGACTTTTCATTGCAATTTAGCTGTGTCCAGGCCGTTGGAGTCTATGCCGGTAGGCGTAGCCAGGTATGGGTTAAAATTTTTTGGTGGCGGCGAAGCCGCCACCTACGAGAAGTCGTTGCTTCGTTTTCTTCTTGTATATTTTCTTTTTTTTTAATCCCAAAACACTTCAAATGCGTCATTTGAATGACATCATGTCTATTAACGGCTTTGGCTTCAGAGGAGAGACAAAGAACTAGCGGAAATGATTTCTGATATAAAAGCATTTATCAAAAAGTTGGAGTTTTGGGAACAAAACCTAATTAACAGCGATGCCAAGCATTTTCCTATTCTTTCAGAAAAAATCTCAAAATCCATTAGAACCCTATGACAGCAAATATCATGTAGAAATAGTTTCTACCCTAAAGAATAACTTCAAAAATCGTTTTAAGGATTTCAACGAAATGGCTTTAGTAGCGCAGTTTGTTGTTTCACCCTTTATGGAAATTGATATCCAACAGTTTGCAACTTGTGTTATGCAGAACTTTGGCGAAGACATCGCTGCAACAGAAATGGAAGTAATTGAGTTTCAAAATGATTTAGCCTTAAAATCGTTAGTCTCAAGTACCAAATGTATCTGGCCTATTGTAAGTAAAGACAAATATTCAGTTCTATGCCGTGTTGCCTTGAAAGTGAAAGCATTATTCAGTTCAACCTATTTGTGTGAATCTTCTTTTTCCAATATGAAGTTTATTAAGAACAAATATCGCAATCGACTTACAGATGAACATTTGGATAATTGTATTCGAATGGCAGTATCAAGTTATACTGCAAACATTAAAAAAATTATCGATGAGTCTGAGTGTCAGCCTTCTCATTGAACGTGCTTTTTTATTTTTCAATGTTTATGTTCATGATAGTGCGTTACTTTTTTGTTGTTATTATTAACTATTTTTAAATCTTACGTGACATGCCGTTGTGGCTGGATAAAAGTTTGTGTTTATTTTTCAAACACCTTCGTTTGGTAGTTAGGACTGTAGCTATGAACAAATACGTACTAGTAATATTAGTTATTTTGTTATTAGTTTATTATTAGTACCTGTGTATTATGTATTATCAGTTATATAGTAAAATAAATACATATAATGATAAATTAACTGTGGATTATTTCATTTACGTTGCGTTACGTGGCTTCCGTGTGGGTAGCTCGCTGTTTATTCCAAAATTAACAAAGTAGTTCAACACATTGAGAGGTTGGCGACCATTGGTCTGTAGCAACCAGTTATATTTATTTTATTTTGACGATTAAAATTTACAATAATTTGTAGAAAATTAAAATTTTGAATTTTTACTATTTTATATTGAAAATCGTATTTTATATTGATGTATGTGTATGGGTATATATGTATATAGTATCTATTGTGTATATATTAATAGTATGTAAGTTTTTGTGTGATAATTTTAAAATATTTTATGCTTTCATATAGACAGTAAAATGTAACTGAACATATTTTGCCTGAAAATGTGTATGATTTATCTCACGAATAAAATGTATTTTTTCTGTATTCATTCCATTCTATAGGTAATTGGTTTAACTATTAAGTGGTGACCTAAACAAATAAATTTCATGGGAGTTCAGTAGCATTAATGTTTATTTCATTTTTGTTTTTTTTTTATAAATAGCTTACTTCTACACACATATTATATCTAGGCACAACCAATAACTATGTTTTGATTACATTGATTAATAATTTTATTATAAAACATGTACATTTAATATTATTACTACTAAAAATAAATTATTCTTATTTGTTTTTATTTTTCTTTTATTTACTCTATATAAAAAAGATTTCAGTTTCTAAATGATCTACTGGAACTAAATAAAAATAATGTGTGACCACGAATTCAGTTGAAAGCATACAGTTTCAAAACATATATCTACAATAAAAAAGTTTTGAACCCTAAACGAACATATAGTCATTTCCAGTAAAAACATGTTTACAATACAGTGTATAACGAAAACTTAACATAAATAGAAAAAGAAAATTGTTAAATAAATGAATTTTTTATTCATTCGAATCAATTATCTAAATTATTAGTTATTGTGAAATAATAAACATAAACACGAACCCTTTCAAACCGTACGCCATTGAGAATGGAGTACCTACCCCTCTTCCCTCACGCCAAAAGTGATTACCTCGCTTATACATAACAAAATACATCTAGTCTTATATATGCTCTAAGGTTTAGTCCGATTAGTGACAGTTCAACACGCTTAAATGTCACTTAAAAGCATCCTAAAAAACTGCGCTCCTGTCCCGTTCTAGCCCCTGGCCATGGAGGTATAATACTAATGGAGATGCCATGAGGCAATTGTTTTGCATATACGTTTTATTAAAAATGACCCCACTGGGCGTGGCTTAAATGGTTGACTAAGCAGGGTCGTATTCAAATATAGTTAAAGTCCGTATGCAGAATTACAACTTTTAAATGACTTACTTACCTAAGATTTGTTTCAACATGATCGATTCGAAATTAATTTGATGATATTGCGCAATTATGACTTCTACACTATTTACTATTATTTATTAACCGTTTTCCGATCAAGCCAATGCCAAGACCATAAAAGAGATTAATATTATTATATTGTTCTGTCTTCGCCGAAACCGTCCGATATATGACCTGTGTGATCCAAAATCAACGTTCGAATAACACTGTGCATCAGATTTGTTAATCTCTTTGTGCTTTAAAACTAAAACCCGAACTACGATTTTTCGTTCAAGGACTCTCTTGTCTTGATCAAAGCTGCCAATGTCAAAATCTGACAATGAGGAGAATTATGACATCAAATTACCAAACCAAAAACCAAACCACTACGTGAATTGTGAATAAATATATTTCAGTAAAAATACAGCCGAGTTTGTAGAAAGGACAATTAATTACTTTTAAAAGTAAAACATGTATGTTTTTCTGCTGCAGATGACATACATTAAAAATATGACCCGCTACAGTCAAAAGTTTAAAAAGACCAACAATTCAGCTAGGTATGGCTTTATGGTTAAAAGTAGATGGAAGAAAACCATGATCAAAACTACTCTGTCAAAACCAATCGGAACTAAAAAGACTCAGATAATAGTTGTTGGTTTTATTTATGTTTGAAATAATTAATTATATAGGGTAGGTACATATATTACTAAAATTGCAAGCAAGTACTTACTCAAGATTTCTATAATTGGTACCTATGTATAATAAACAACAATCTCACAGATGCACAGCATACAACTATACAAATGGAATTATAGAGATAATTTATTTTAAAAATAGGCATTCAGTTGATATTTGTGATTACAAAAAGAAAACTTTCACCACTTTTTCTGATCAGTAATGTTAGTGTGTGAAAAAGTTTCTAGAAACTGGTGTTTTTAATCCTAATAAAGCATTGTGAATTTCCAAGAAAAGTGCATGATGAAAATTGTTTTGACCAAAATTTTGAATGTCATGCCATTTAAAAAAAAAAGTTTGTGGCTGTGGATAACATTTGACACAAAATCTTTTCCTAAAAATAACTATTTGGTTGCATTGGAGGAATAATTTCCCACAAATTTAGACCAAATTTTGAGATATTGTGGGTCTTTTGGAAACCTATAATAAAAAAAAGTTAAGCATTCTAAAAAAAATTCTAAGTACACTCCTTATACTTACTTATGAAAACTTAAATTAGATATTTTCTTACGCTCTTTCACTGAAGAGTTTTTACAATTAATTTTGGCACACTTAGTCATGATTTTTATACAAATTAATAAAAAAAAAGACTTATTAAGATAGAAATAGCGTCGAAATATTTAAATTTGAACAAAATTCTGACAGCTCTTTGACAACTATGACATGACCACTAAGAGAGGGGGGAGGGGTGTCGTTTTTTTTTGGCATGTCATCTCTACAGCATTCAACCTCATTGCCCCTGGCTAATCAGAACGCTACTCATTAAGTCAAATGTCAATCTGTCACAAAAGTTACGTAAATCTCGACCGTGGTCCAAATGTAACCAACAAATTCGTTATTTTCAAAAAATCCTGGTTAGTTACAGTTAGTAGTCGGTTAATATTGAACCATACCCAATGTTTCTCTACTGCAGATATTTTGATTGACAAGTTTACATGGTAGAATTTCAGTTTGTTTATCTGAGAAGAAAAGTGTTCTGAAGCTATTACACACTTTAAAAATAAAAATAGCGAATTTGATGTCTTCATATTTACATTAATTAGGTTTGGGCGAACTGGGGGAAGACTGCATTAAGTGACAGGTTAAAATCTATTGATTTGACTGATCATTACAGTTAACTTGTCCGTTGACTTAAAGCACCCTGAAACAGAAGAGAGAACAATACAGAAAAGAAATATAGGGCTAGTTCCACCACAGATATACTCACCGTATACAAAGCTATGTAGTGTACTGTGAATAGATACGTTTTCTCAGAGTATCTCTATGGTGGAACTAGCCCTATGTTTCTTTTATGTATTGTTCTCTATTCTGTGACCCTGATAGAACGGGAAAAGGTAAGGAAAATATCTGTGGAAAAGTAGGATGCAGGTAGACAGACGCAGATTAAGTAAATTCTCCCAGCAGCGCGATAATGAGGTAACTTCCACTTACCGCTACAGGATAGGAAACAGGGTTATGTGTTAGACCAATATTGAGACCTGCTGACTTGCTGTGCATTGCAGTAGTAGCAGATACGATCTGTGCACTCGACATGCTCGACATCGTCTGGAGAGTTTTTTCTTTGGCCACGTGATCCTGATGAATTAAATTTTACCATCACCAAAAGAAGTTAGCATTTATTTAAAAAGACCATATACCATTAGCGATACTATTACCATAGGAAAAACTGTCACCGTATTATATATTTTGAGAATTTAAATTTAAACTGTAGATAGCAATAGAGTAATAATAGTAAAATGTCAAAAAATTTAGATAGGTTTATTTCAGAAAAAATATATAAATAGTTTTTGTATACATTTAAACAACGAAAATAAACTTGTCACATACATTTTATTCAAAAATCCCACAACACTAGCAAATAATTGTCTTCGTTCTCTAGAAACGAGTATTTCTACCCTTCGATTCTATAGGTCTGTTCTAGAGATGTGCGATTCGATACGATATTTGACAGTATCGATATTCAGGACTTCGAAACTCGATATTTTGTATCGATATTCTACGTATACCCCGTATCGATACATGTATATGTTAAATCGTATCGAAAATAAAATAACACTTATGAATCACTAATTACGAATTTAAACTGCCATATTTGGATAAGATATTAAACATACGTAGATTGCTTGAAATATTGTATATGTGTTTTTAATTGTACACCTTAAAATCTATTTATACTGATATATATGATTTTTGCACTGCAATATTTTAAGATTAATTTACTTGTACTAAGTACATTAATATACCATTTCGATATTTTGAGTATCGATACTGGTGCTTACGATATTAAATTGTACCGATATATTAAACTTCGATTTGAATCGATACGCAGTATCGATACTTTTCTATGTATCGAACATCTCTAGTCTGTTCTGTTCCAACAATCATCAGAAACCAGTCACCGATACCAAGAAACTGCGCAGTACATTATTGGGACTGTTAAATAATCTACCGCGTGGAATCCTGGTGTCAATGACTGGTTTTATCGTTGTTGGAACGTACCTTATATTTATCACGCAGTGGCTCAAAAATCAATTATTGTACAGATCTTTTAGGTTTATTGTACAGGGTGTCTGTAAAAGGTCTTTACAAAAACATACCACATATTCCTTAGACCAAAATAAGTCGATTTAAGTAACATTACCTTAGTACAAAGTTGCTTCGTTTGGGCCCAGAGGGCCTTGAAGTTACAATTTTTAAATCGTTTTTCCCATATAAATTTAAAACGGCATATGCGATTTTGCTGAAATTTTGTATATTGGTAGAGTTTTATGTGGCAAAAAATAGTATTAAAATTTTGTCCGATAATAATACATAGGCGTAGAACTTGATTTTTTAAATAATTGCACCTTTAAAAATTCTACGCCAATGGAAGAAAAGGAGTTTGTGTATGAAATTTAAATTGCGCAACTCATTTACTTTAAAAAAGGTACTCTTGTTAAGACTCGATTACTCTCATGGTTTTGACGAAATTTGCATTTTAGTAATTTTAGAACATAAACAATAATTATTAAAATACAAACTTTGTCAAAACCATGAGAGTAAATCGAGTGTTATCAAGGGTACTTTTTTGTAGTAAATGAGTACCCAATCCAAATTTCATACTCAAACCCATTTTCTGCCATTGGCGTAGAATTTTTAAAGGTGCAATTATTTAAAAAATCAAGTTCTACGCCTATGTATTATTATCGGACAAAATTTTATACGATGAAAAACATAAAAATGTACTTTTTTTATATCTTCTTCAACACCTCTAATCGAGAATTTTAACAAAAATACTCCATTCTTGCCATGTACGATTTTTTGAGGAATATTAAGAGCGATATCCATGCGACACCTAACAGCAAATTCTGGTTTAGAACACACTGACCACTTTCAGTGCATCTGAACGCACTTTGGCAACGTTGCTCTATTCCCAGACTTACGCTCCCTTCAATTCATTACTTATATGATTTAAAATATAAAAAAGGCCGATAAATCGCAGGTCCGGTCTAACAAAGATTATTTCTGTTTTGTTTTCTCGTTTAAAATATTTTTTTATAGGTATAACCTGGTGTAACATTATCGAAACTCTTTTTTTCTAACTAAATAATTTATTTACGATATATATTTTTAAATAAACATATGTATTTCCTATGATTATTTCGAAGACATATCTAAAAAGTACCTATTTCTATGTTTGTTGAAGTTATTATATATAAAAAAACATAGATCCAAAAAGTCAGTGGCGCAGTATTTTTTTATTAAAAAAAGTGACATTCTCGCACAAACGCCACTGGTGCAAGTAAAAATATTTGGAACACCCCAAAAAATACACATTTGTCCCTTCAAAGTTTTTTTTGCAAATTTAGAGTAAAAAAACTATTTGAAATAATTAATAAAATTTAATAAATTAAAATTTAAACATTCTGTATCCCGGAAACGAAGCATATTTCGACCTACTTTTATAGGAACTTTTTTTAACAAAATAACTTTGATAACAATTTGCAAAAATCTTTCGTACTTATTTACAAATACCCTGTATAAAAATACGTTTTTTAAATAATAATCCATTTAATACTAGTTTGTGCAACAACAGTGGACAAACAGTATTTTTTTTCTACGACCCACTAAACGAAAATCTACAAATTTAAAGTATTATTTTAGGAAAAGACAAAATAGCTAATTTTAATAGTTATTTATGCAACAAGTGCAAAAAGTAAGTGTTTATTGCACGCGACGTGAAATTGTCGAGTACAAAAAACACTTTGCACGAGTTGCATACAATATTTTTTCTACGTTCATGCAAAAACCAAAGAATGTTTTATAGAACTGCAGTTGTATTATCCAAATCATAGTAGCTGTGATCGTGTACCTTTGAGGCATTTATTTACGTTTGTGTTCATAATTTGTGATGACATTTTTATTAAAATACATTTTTTTATTAATTTACTTATTAAATGATTGAAAATAATATAAAATATGCAATTGTTTTTAAAACGTAACACAGAAAATAAAAATGGACTAAATATTTGGCATTGATTTGAATATTTATGTTTGTCGTGATCATAAAACGCTGTAGTAAAATGACAGATGAGTGCAATAAAATTTTTATTGCACTAGTGCAATAAAGAACCAGTTTTTTCATTAGATATAGTTCAATAAAGTTTTGTTTTTTGCATGAACGTAGAAAAAATAATTTATGACTTTACTAATTTGTGAAATAAAATAAACTTGAAAAAATATTTCATTTAATTAGTCCCCAGCCCAGATTTGAACTCGGGCCTCTCGCGTGAAAGACAGATGCCGTATCCTCATTTTCACCTCTGCATTTGGAATTTTAGTTCTAATATTAATTAAATTAGTTTCATATAGGTAGTTTGATTCAAATTTAAGATTTTTTAAAATATGGTCCAAATAAAAAGAAATTAAAATTATTTATGGATTCTACACAAAAATAACTCATTTTAAATATTTTAATGTATATTTAATCTCAATACCTAAAAAATATACTGACAATTAGTTTGACAGAATTGTCACTTATTTAAAATTTTTAAAATAATAGTAGTTGGGTGTCTAATAAACTGTGATTGGTGGAGTTCATTTTTTTTGCAGTGTTCTCACTATCTAAAATGGATATGAAATATATTCGTTGAGTTGAACGCAATAGTATATTTTTTCGTTTTGTAGTCTGTGCGTGAATAGTAGTTTGTGCAACAAAATTGGATATGATGGCCATATCGCACGAAGACGAAGTTTAAGAACGACGCCGTAGACAGAGTGGTTAATCGTCTGAGTGTGATACGGACAATCCACTCGAGTTATACACTAACGAAATTCTACAAATTTAAAAAAGTATGTTATTAAGACAAAATAAATAATTTTAAAATAATGTATGACTTTTACTAATTTATAAAATAAAATAAACATACAAAAAGATTTAATTTAATTAGTCCCCAGCCCAGATTGAAACTCGGGCTTCTCACTTGGAGACAAACTCCGTGCCCTCACGCCATCGCCACACTTGCCATTTTAATTCTAATACTTGTAATTAAATTAGTTTCATATGGTTTGATTAAAATTTAAGATTTGTTTGTAAATTTGGACGAAATAAAAATAGAAATGCTATTACTTATCGATTATACATAAGAAATATTCATTTTTACGTATTGTAACGATAGTCTAATTTATTTTATAGTTTATTTATTTATTTAAAACACACACTATTTACAATGTATTTTAGACGTACTAATTAATTTATATAATACTTAGACACTGACTAACAATTCTAATTTATTTATTACAATTTAACTTTTCATTCCAATACTCTGTACTAAACTAAACTGCCCGACGATGAGTCGGGCTATTTATATTAAGTCCAACTCTGCTACTAGAAGTTTCTAGACGGTCCCGAAAATTCCATCTCTGACTCAACGGCACACTCTGCCTGTTCTACCCGTTTCTCGAGCCTTAGCGGCATTCCCAGAACATTCCGTCGCCTCGAGCATGAGTCGGGGCCAGCTGAAGGTCGCACCTGCTTTAGACACAGGGTCGGATTAGGAATTTCATGACAGTATATTGAATCTCAATAATTCAAAAATATACTGACAGTTTGACAGAATTGTTACTTACATAAAATTGAAAAAATAATAGTAACCGGGTGACCAAAATATAAACTGATTGGTGGATTTAACTGTTTTGTAGTGTTCTTACTAGGTAGAATGGATATGAAATATATTCGTTCAGTTGAACGCAATGGAATACTTTTTGTTTTGTAGTATGTGCGTAGATTAGCTAATAACTATGTGGGTATAGGAAAAATCATATCCATGTGGGTGTAGAAAATAGTAGTTTGTGTAACGAGAGTGAATATAAATTAAATGGATTTCATATTAAAATTTATATTTATTTATTTCTAAATATAGATCAAATAAAAATAGAAATGCTATTATTAATCGATTCTACACAAGTATAACTCATTTTACGCAATAGCATATTTCTTCGTTTTGTAGTCCGTACGTAGATAAGCTAATATCCATTTGGGTGTAGAAAAAATTGTTTTCTAGTACTAAAAATATATAAAAATAACATTGAGTAAA